ATTTTTTTAGAAGTCAGAGGAACTTAAAACATACTTCCTCCCTGTCCCTATGCATTTTTCGTGTTTGTTTTATTCTGTTTATTTGAATTCCAATAATTCTAGATGTGATAATTCTAGAATAATGTAATTTATAAAAATTTGAAAAGCCAATTCAGACTAAGCTAAAGTGAGATTAAAATATAATGACAAAGAGGAAAATGGTAAACCCAAGGAACAGCATCATCAAGACTCCAAATAACTGAGCTTTATTTACAGACACTACTTAGGGATCAACCACAAATTTTATCTCAGATTGTAAGGTCTGTTCACTTTATGGGTATAGAGTGTTTTTGAGAAATAGGAACTAAAACAACACTAAATGAGTTTTGAAGTTCCTCATCTCAGCCAATCTTAAATAGTAGTCAGTACTCCAAAGAAATCACACTCATGGGAAAATAGATACTTGTGGGTTTCAGACTTTTTAAAACTTTAATAAAGACATCTTTTACAGAAGAGGAACCTAAAAGTTCCAGTAACATAAAACTTAAAACTGAAATTGGTAGACGTGAAAAGACATCCATATTCTTAAGGTAAATTATCTTCTGACTGACCAAATTCTGGAATTATTCAACCAATGAATAGAAATTCTATTGGTGAATCTTGGGTCTTGCTCCTCAGAAGATGATTTAAAAAAATCAAGGAGTTTTATAATTTTGTTAGACAGAAAACTAATTCCAATCATTATTTCACTGGAAAAATAATTCTATCCTAGAATGGTGGTAATTTTCCAAGAAAAATAGATTTCATTCTGATTTTTAATTCTTCCTGTCACCATTCTTTTACATCAGAAATAGGATCAAGTAAAAAAAAATGACTCATTATACAAGAGAGCAGTTTTACCTTAGACATTTCCTGAGCTTGTTTTCTGCTGGTAATTAACGAAACCTAAGATAACATAATGTCTTTGCATGGGGCTAGCTTTGCACTGCTCTCTGCTGTCTATTTAAAGTAACGACAATGTTTCAAGTATGTGATCCTATTTTGACATTTCGAAATCTTTAGTTTTTCCTTTTTAATGTTTTCTTGGTGGAAAAATAAGATGTGGGTAAGCATGCAAGATATGTAATATTAACCAATTTTTAAATATTGTGTCCCTTGATGACGCCAGATAAAATATGTTTGGTCATAACACTTATGTGTTGCAAGTTCTGTAAAATTTACTAGAAAAGCCCATAGAGAGATATAAAAACACCAAATAAAGTAGTGTCCACATTAATAAACATAAGCTTAGTTTATTTACTGTGGAAAACATCTGGGGATAATGAAAGAGTAGAACAAGAAGGGAAGTGTAAGTCAAAGCTTTGGAAAAGATGTTTACTTTCTAGTATGTGCAGAATGAGCTTTCAAGGTATCTGCAGGGTGTCTCTGGTTTTCAAAGTACTTATCAGATAAGATCATTATTCTCTGTCTATGAGTGAGATGTTTTATTCTTGCAATAAACTGAACCCTTCAAAAATTTGGTCTCTTCAAAAAATGAAGGACGGATACTTTTAAAGTATCAAATATACTTGAAAGACATTAGAAAATTGAAAAAAAATAAAAAAGAGACATCAATTTTCTTTTGACTTTGAATGGTTTTGACCTAATTAAATATCTTCGCTAAGAGAGTGAATCTAAGAGGCAGCCTTGAGCTTCTGCAACTGACAGCTCTCCTGAAGATGCATCTGGCACTTACAGGAAAGTTGTGCTGTGAAGAGACATGTGGAAGCTGGTACTGTGTCTCAAGGTATCCAGTACAAAGGAACTGGGCTCTAAGTGAGCTGATGAAGATATTGCTGTTTATTTTCAAGTTTCTGTCTAGAAGAAAGAATATTGATTCTATAACAATTTTGCCTTTTCAAGGGTCCTGATAGCACAAGATGGGCACTGAGTCAATCCCAAGTGGTTGAAAGCTATGCGTTTTTTTGAAGGAAGCTACAGTGGACTCTTGTCTATACTTATTTCATAACAAAACAAGCTGGGTTATTCAAAATTTGCAACAACAACTAACAAGTAGTGGTGACACCGTTTACTATATACTTCACCGTCTGACACTGAATTTCCCTGAAAATAAGGCAGTGAGAACATATTCAGAGTGATCCTGTTGTACGTTTCTATTCTATAGCTTAAAAATCAGAAACTTGCCTGGGGAAAATATTGCTTTAAATACCCAGGCTTTGTACATACTATTCAGAAATACATATAGAAATTGAATGGTTGATAATTTCTGGGATTTGGAAGTATTTATTGTGCAGGTGAAAATATTTGGTTTTCATTATGTACAATTTTTCATTGGAAGAGGAATGCTACTTGCAAACTTAAAGTATAAATGTGTTGTGTTTTTTTTTTTTTTTTAAAAAAGAGCCCAAACTCAAAGAGTCTTATGTCTATTTGTTACTGATATTTGGTCTTGACATCTGAACAATCAGTTGTTTGGATACTCTTATACATATTCATCTAGGTATGCAAATAAGTATAATTGAATAGGAATTTTTTTTCTGTCAAGGCAGAAGAAAGTGTCTTTTCTGTACAGTAAAAGTATTAGAAACTAGCAATCGGAATTCTCATTCAATGAATCCCTCTTCCAAATGATAAGCAAAACTAAATGTAACTTGAAAAAATGTATAGCTCAGTTGCACAGTACTCATCACTCACAGAGATGGACATGCATTCAATACTCAATAACAAGAAAAAAACTCATCTCTGCAGCAGAGATTTATAGTTAGTTCCTCTTTAAAGTTCTATCAGCAAATGAATATCAACTTAGATACAAAGCTTCAGATATTGTGTTAAATGTAATATTTGAATTAATGGAGATTAAGATAGATATTTTGTTCCTTCCAATTGCCAATTGTCAAATCCAATGCTTGGTTTGGATGTTGAAAAGAAAAGTGTGAGGTGAACAGAGCACATTTTTTGTCCCCCAAATAAGGAAACACACAGACATGCACGCGCGCGCGCGCGCATACACACACGTAAAAGAGGATACAATGCAAGCAATACCAATCCTTAAATGAAAGAACTTAGCCGTGTGATAATATTGTTGCATTTTATCCCAAGATATGTTATCTGCCTGTAATCATACAGACACATGCTTAAATAGTCAAATGAAAGGAAATAGACAAAGATGCATTAGAGAAATAAAAATAATTTAGTAGATATTTCCTTTGAAAAAAGTGCACAGCTTCTTCCGCTTTGTAAATGTGATCTTCATTTTTCCAAAATATATGATATGGAAATGAAGGTGGGGTGACAGAAGACCCATATTGTTTATAAGAGTTCAGTAGTGTGTTGACAAGTTGTATTATTAATATATACATAGGAATGAGATCAGAATATCATTTACCTCAGCAAGTCCATCTTACACAAGATCATAACTTTAGTGTAAGTATGGGGCAAAGAAGAATTCTAAACAATACCAGTGAAGGCCACATCTGACTTATTACTCTTTGAAACTACCAAATAAAATATAAATAAAAAACTATTTAAAAAATCTAGAAAAGCCAAGAAAATCATGGAGCAGAGAAAGAACTTTGTAGAGAAGCAAACAAAACCTAAAGAAAAGATACATTTTAGTTAATAATGTTTAAGACATTGTTAATTAGTTGTGAAAAATAGAGCTTATTGTTTTGAGACTTTACCTGGGGAGAATGATAGTTTTGGGTGCTATCTTCTTGTCCTTTTGAGAATCACAGTTTATTTTAGATGTATTTTTACTACATTTGTTCAATGGTTTCTAATTCATGCTTACACTGCATCCTGATTGCTCTCTCCCTGCTCCCTCATGTCTCTCTTGCCTTTGCCATGTCCTCTCCACAAGTTCCTTTTCCATATCCTTGTGGTTCTGTTTTGTTGTTAGACCCAATGAGTAGAATGCAGGATATGCATGAGTGTGGGTTTAGAACACTATATATAGTGAAGCCTGGTGGGCTCACCACTGATACCAAACTTACAGCAGTGACTCCCAGTTTCCCAGAAGCTGTCAGCAGCCACTTGCTTTTCCTCTAACCACGAATAGCTATAGATGAGCTCATTCTGTTTCAGGCTCGATGTTGGTAAGCACTGTTAAGATGGGTATACTGTGTGTAGAAGGTGGAATTTTCTAGACCTTCTTTCCAGGCCTTACATTCTTCCATAAAGCTCCCTAACTTTAGGAGAAGTACCTTTCATTGTTGAATACTTGAATCAATGTGTCTCTTCTTCTACCACCTTTCAGAGAAAGTTTGTTGAATAAGGCTAGGTCTAACATTTGTCTTTGAGTAAACATAAACAATTAGAATTAGTTTGATTGCATATCAGTAATATTAGTAGATGCCTCCTTGAAGCCTATTACTTCCTGAACCATGAAGTTTTGGCTGGAATTCACAGTACCAATAATGAATTCCCTCGTGTGAATAGGCCTCATTTCCTATTGGAGAGCAATTTAATACTCTCATAATAGTGGTGCTACTATTGCAGAACTGGATGTATCTTGCCAATACATTGGAATTATAATTTGTGTGGTTTACTGCTAGGTCAACAATCGGGGCCTGCCCCACCTCCTCAGTCTGCATTGTATCTTCTAGCATTTCTCAATAGCCATCAGAAAGGAAGCTTCCCTCTCAGATCCAGCTTGGATTCTCTGTAACTAACAATCCAGGTATATAACTAACAATCCAGGTATGTAACTTCTATTTTGAATAGTAATTTTCTACATTAGTGAAAATGGAGATGGTTGTGTCAGACTCAGTTTGTTTTTTTAAGAGAAATCTGTCAATGTGATAAGCATGAATCAAAGACAAACATGAAAATATTCATAGCCACTAAAACAAAAAAGTGTTATCAAATTACTAACTGAGATAAAAGGCAGGGCATGTATTTAAAAAAAAAGTTTTTAGGTTGATTATATAATCCAATTGTACCTTTATCAAATAAAAACAGACCAGGATTAATTAATATCATTCATACTAATTTTCTTTTCACATTAACATCTTTTCTTATAGATATATGCAATACATAATCAGTTGAAGACAGCAGGAAAATCCAGTGGACATTGATCTGATTCACATGACAGGTGGAAAGTTATCGTTTTGACCATTTTCAAGCATTGTTTCCATAAAATTTTTTCTTGATTTGAATCTGTAGACAAAATGATTTCATATCACCACCTTGCTGCCTACAGGATCTTTGTGTATTCTATATATTTTTGAGAAACATAAATAATTTCTTTATTTCATTAGATTTTTCTCTGAAGCCTAATACTTCAGAGTTTTTTCCAAACCTTTCAAAAAACATGATGTCATCCCAAAGACAAGAAAAATGTATCCTTTCCTCAAATATACTGAAAACAATTTAAAAACTCCCATAAAGAAAGAAGAGCATGATTTAACCCTTCTGTTTTCCTTCTACTTTCTCATTAAAATAAAATATATTGTCTTGAGAATATATAAAATTCTCATGAAAATCTGTTGTTCTTAGAACAGTCCGATGTTACTTGATTACTTAGTGGTGATGATCAACTGGTTTGTTTGTGTTGAAAGGTTCCATGTATAATTCTGTGAAAACAGAAACTTAGATGCAGAAAAAAATCCCAAGTTACATAATCATAATATTTGAAAAACCTTGTGTGGTTCACTAAACTAAACAAGTCATAGGAGAAAACAAAACATGGAGATGAATTACATTTTAGCAATATTTGGAGGATACTGCCTGAGAGCAGACAAGATTCAAGTGTAAGGAGATAGCCCAGAGTTCAGTTGTTTATTGAGCTTCTTAAAGGCCAAGTGTCTTATGCTAGAAAACTGTTAAGTTGGCTATTTTCTGGCAGACAGGCATTGTCCAGGCAAATCTATGTGTGTGTGTGTGTGTGTAATTGAGCCTGCAGGTGATGAGGTGCAGGTGCAATAGAGTGTCTAATTTGTGCTTCTGGCATGACGTCCTGGTGGCTAATTATGCACTTTGTTGCCATAGGTGCAATTTAGTTCCTGTGTGTTCTTAATGCCTGTTTAGTGATTGTAGGCTCAAACCTTCAACACATTTGAAAGGTTGCTGTGACTAAAAGGTCAGCTTAAAAAAATCTAAGGAAACTTGGCCACTGTTGTAGTCACTGTGGAGACAATTTTTAGATTACAAAAATTTTACAAATTTGTCAGCATGTAGAAGAAAACACAATTATAAAATAAGAGGATTAAGTCAACCTCATGGAATGACATAATTTCTTTAGTTGGCAAGCAAATGATTTTCTTTCATTTCTATAGGGCACTGTATATTAGTTATTGTTTGGGAAAACAAAGGAATTGGAACTGTCTAAGACCAATGTCACCACCAAATTCTTCAAGTCTAGCTTAATAGGATAATAAAAAAATAAGGAATAAATTAATAGCAGTTTATAAACAATATAAATTTCATGAGTACAGCAAATAGTGAACATAGTGACTATTATGATAAAAATCCAAACTATCTATTGTTTTTTCTCTCCTTTTGAAGGAAATTATCAATCAAGGAAGGAAGTTTTCAACTTCTCTTGCTAGGTGCCTTATACTAGAATGTGATTAATAAAAACAAACTGAGAAACCAGGTATTGGGGTGAATTCTGAAAGATCAGAGAAGCAGAACAAGCCACAGCTAACCTCACCTCACCAACTTCTCAGCTGATGCTGTTTCCTCAAACAAAAAGCTTCTGAGTCCTCATCCGAATGGGTCTCAGCTGAATTGCTGCTAAAATTCTAAAGGCTTAAAAGGCTCTAATTCCTGGTCCTCACGACTTACATACCTTTCTGCTTTCTGCCATCACTTCCTAGGATTTAAGGCATGTGTTTCCCAAGCAAGATATTAGATCTCAATTAAAGGTGTGTGCCACCATGCCTGGCTCTGTTTATAGTGTGGCCTTGAACTCACAGAGATCCAGGTGGATCTCTGCCTCTGGAATGCTAGGATTAAAGGTGTGTGCTGCCCACTCCCTTACCTCTATATTTAATATAATGGCTCTTCTGTTCTCTGACTCCCAGATAAGTTTATTGGGGTACACAATATATCAACCACAGGAATGTGTGTCTGTGTGTGTTTAAGAGACTGAGTAGTTAGCAAATATGTATAAACATAGTCATCATTCATAGACATATCTTTTTTTATCTACTCATGCAATTTTGGAAAGCAGTCACTGAGAAAAAAAAAATCCCCCTGGCTCTTTTAGTGGAAGAAGCAAACAAAGCTGTCACAGGCAGCATCATCTCTAAAGGGAAATCAATTTTGGATATTGGAAGGTCAATATTAAAATGGGATAACTGTATAGTATTGCTTTGTCATCTTTAATTTCCTTTGTTTACATCGTGCTTTCCTTATAAATAATTCAAGGAAAAACCATGTGATTTCATAATGAGTAAATCGATTAATGATTGCCGCTAAGTATTTTTGTGGGCTAGACTCACAAAATAAATGCCAGTCAATAACAAGAAACTGTCAACTTCTTTATTCTGCTGACATTGCAGAATTTTGCTCTATGAGAATGAAATTAGGAATTCCCAAATTTTCTGATTGCTATATTAATGGTATATATGATTCAGGGGTGTTTCCGATTGTGGTCTTGGAATGCAGGCTAAGCAGTTCTAGGGGAAATATTTATGTACGAAGGAGAAGAAATAATAATGTAAAACTGGCTGTTCTTCTACCACAGCAATGGCTTTCTTCTGCACCCTTCCAGTCTTACGCTGATCAGCAAGCAATGTAGGTCTGCTCCGGCAAATATGAGAATGCAAAATCACTGTTGAAACTGGAAAACATATTTTATTCCTCGGAGCAGGAGGTGGAATTAGGTTTTGTTTAACAGAGTATATGTGTTAAAAAATACCTTCTGCAAAGTAAGCAACGGCAACCTGCCTGTTTTAACTCCATCCTCTCACTTCTACAATTTCATTCCGCAGGGCGTGCACACAAAACTGTCTAGAGTGATTAACACAGTCTACCTACAGAAGCATTCTATTCTTTAGTACAAAAACTCTTGAGATCCATCCCAAAGCTATGATTTCCACTGCAACAAATATGTCAGGTCTCTTCAGTTTTGCTTTGGTATTTGGAAATTAATCCTTGAAGATCTGTTACTTGAAGTTATTTTTCTGAACTTTTACTGAACTTCTGAACCTGCAACTAAAATATTGAGTCTGGAACCAGACCACCCCATAGGTATGTTGGGCATTTCATAAAATAACATGGTAGAGACACAGGATAGAACTAAAATATATTCCATTTATCTGTTTGAGATGTAAAATCTAAGAAGCTGAATTTAAAAGCTAGGATTTAAGTCTGTTTTGGTACCTGAGTTTAAAAAAGCTGTTTTTTTAAAAAAATGTGGTTAGTATACTTTCCTTTGCTCCCTGGTTGATGACTCCCATCGGGTTTTCACAGCCTTCTCTTTCCCTAGACACTATGGCTTGCTCAACAGCAGAGAAATAGCTGTGATCAGAGATGGTTTCTGTTTGTTGCTTTGTTGGTCAATTAACCTTTCTCTTTTGGGAAAAGCATGGAAACTGGTGTTGCCGGAAGGCTTCTCTCCAGGTTCCCCAAGCCCCGCAGTCCCACAATCCACATATAAAATAATCACTCAGACGCTTATATCACTTATAAAC